ATGTGTGACCCTGCTTACCTGTGTGACAAAATCATTACATTATCCACATAACCAGGAGAATTGTGTTTCTCTTTACTGTTAGTACACAAAGCAATGCTGTAAGCTACATGAAGCACACTCCACAGAAACACTGAAGTAGCACTTAAAATATGAAGCTTTCAGCAAAGAATCAGCAAATGCTGTGGACAGAAATATTGCACATAGTTATATATATCATAGCATTTTATATTTATAGTCGATACTTTTGGTTGTAGGAATTCATTTAGAACAAAAATGATGTGGAACGTTATGGAGACAGAGTCTAAAAGAAAAAAATGTGTGTGTGTGTCTGTGTGCATTAATGTTTGTTTTATATACCTGCTGTATACACCTTACACGACCATATTCCTGTCCAAGACTTATAAATCATCAAATGGAGGTGCATAATCGACAGTGGCTTATGTATAGCACAGACTGGTTGTTATAGCAACGAGTACACAGAAGCTATTCCAGTTTTTTAACCATAGCTTCCTGTCTACTGTAAAACCCTTCCGCTCTTTTCCCCAGCTGAGGACATTTTGCTTTTTTTTTTTTTTTAAACATATTATTCTATTTTTGTTCATCATTTGGAAGGCCTTGAATCATGTTGGTATTATTATTATTATTATTATTATTATTATTATTATTATATGGCGACACCACTGTGGTAGATGTCTGAGTCTGGATGGACAATGTGTATGATTATGTCTTCTTCCCCATTCCTACACTGTCCACACACAAATGTTCATATACATGACTTGTTTGTAATGTTGAACAGAATCACACACTTCTGTGTGGTGTGGGGAATTGTTTATAAACGCAGCTAGAATCTCTTAAATCTCGAATCTAAGAATATCGGATGCGGTTAGAGCTAGCTAAAGTGTAGCTAAATGAGGGTTGCTTTGGAAATTTGCTCTGCATTTACCATTTTATGTTCAAAAATCAAGCCTGATACATTCTTGTGCAATAAAACTGCTTAAAAATAACTACAATTACAATCCTAATTCAACTAGTTACTGAATATTATGCATTATCTTAAATAACTTGTAAATAATATCACCGTAATTCTAAGAAATCATGTAGAATGTATTATTAAGCTCATATAATCCTATTAATAATAGATGATTAATATTATATTAATAATTCAATATTGTAATATATTTATGTACATAATCTATAATGCAAATCATACGGAAGAACATTTATGAAAAAACGATCACCATGTCACATTTTTGCCTGAAAATAGCTTCCCACATAGTAAAACATGCCGCTATAGAAAAGTGTTCTACTCACATAACACTAATCCTGCCAGGACCAGGAATAAAAACCTTGGTCCATGGAACTTTGCCATAACGGAGTGTAAAAGGCCTCTTCTAAGACACCACAAGTCCTGTTGGAAACAGAAACATTAAGTTAAAATATCCTCGAACTGATTCTGATTTAATTTGTAATCTTTGTTTTTGCTCAAAAAGAAAAAATTGTTAATTTTTATGAATATAATTTTTTTTTACTTGCGCTTTCTTTTGTTTTATCTAATCAGTCAGCACAGTTTCCCTGGTGTTCTCAAGCTTGTGTTTCTGTTTGACAGAAGGAGCAGTGTCAAAAAGACTTTCACCTTCAGTGATGCACTAAAGGCGTCTTAACAGGAAGTTAAGTATTTTCATGCAACGCCACAATCTCTCACTTTTTGAACTTCTGTCTCACTTTTTGACGCTAAGGAGGAACATTGTAAGAACATTATGCATTTATACTGCAAACATTCTCATGTCCATGTGAGAAATTCTGTACTATTGTCTCCTTAGATGAATGAAAAAAACCCAGGCCTGTCAGTCATGCTAATTTGCTGTCTTTCTCCGTTTATTGTTAGTGTCACGTTTCAATGTAGATTCGGAAGCAACCGCAGATATACAACATTTGTTTAAATAAAACAAACACAAAACAAAACAAAGACACTAAGACAACATGGCAAAATATTGTTTCAAGAAACAAAACACGGTAACATGGAACACGGTAGTTTAAGACAAACATAAAACAGATGCAGTGCGAACAATGGCTATGTATATACACAGTATCTCAAATACTACATATAAAAATGTGAGGGGTGTGAAAATGTGGGTAAAAATGTGAGGAAAGCAGAGCAATGTCCTCAGTGGGGCTGGAGCTCAGAGTGACATCTGTGTGGCAGGACAGTGGGACAACTTCCTCCGCAGGCAGGAGAGGGGAGCGATGTTCTCCACGAGGCCTGAGGGAAGCTACAAGATTTCTGTAAGGCCATAGAGGGGAGGGAGGTTCTCCGTGAGGCCAGGGAGAGGAGTGGGGTTGTCTGTGGTTTATGAGGGGGGAACGATGTCCTCCATAGAGCAGGAAGGGGGAGTGACATACGGCGCACAGCAAAGAAGAGTATAGATGTCCTCAGCATAGCAGGAAGGCAGAGCAACATCCTCAGCTGAGCAAGAAAGCGGAGCGAGGTCCTCAGCCGAGCAGGTAGGCAGAGCGACTTCCTGAACGGAGCAGGAAGGCAGAGTAAGGGCCATAGTAAGGGCCCTCAATAAGGGCCATAGTTAAAAAAAAAAAGTTAATTCATAAACAACAGTAGGTCTTTGACTTGTTTGTACACTGTTCTCTCACACAGTGACGAGGTAAAAAGATAAAAGCATCAAAAATCATCTTTAAAATGCCGCTTTGATAGCGACAAGCTGTTTGTGCTTCACGCCCTTCCTGGGAGCACCTCACACAATGCAGAGTATGAACTTTAACAAGTGTCATTAGAACTATAGTTGGTGTTGTGCTCTGTGGTCAGCTGAGACCAGTATCGAACTGTTTTTCTCAAGCACATCATCAGCACACGTGACGACAAAAAGGATATTACAAATAAAAGTAAAGAAATATATAAATCTATAACATAAAGGATATTAAAATGTTATTTATGAAGGACCGGACCAAGATCCTTCTACAAGAGTGTCCAATTATAATAATTTAGACATTTCAGAAAGAGAATCTGATGTTGTGCTGATATTCTCTTGAGGTCAGAAACAAATTGTTAGGGTGCAGGTCATTTATTAATTTTTTTTTCCTGAAGGAAAAAAATCTATACTTTCTATATATAAAAAAAATTGTGCTTGAGAAATAAATCATGTGATTTTGCATATTTTCCTGTATGTTATTAGGGTTATGTTGTTCCATACACTGTGTTGTGCATTAAACCATCCATCTAAGGCCTGGACAGGGTCTCGACCCATAGCTGAGCATCCTCCGATTATATATTCTGCTTAACTTAGTCATGGGATCGCACGTCAGTGTGAAATGAAACGAAACATATTTAGCGTTGCCCACTTCACATGTCACGTTTGTGCATGTCACGACATGACATCTCCTCTTCTCTGCAAACACAATCAGGCTGTGAGTGCATATAGAAGGCACTGCAAATAATATGCATGCAAATGTTTTTTTGTTCCGGGAAGGTCAGTTGCTTTACTCTGATGAGTCTACATTTAAAAGACATTTGAAAAGACTTGGCTGTTTTAGGAGAAGTTCATTTCACTGCCTAGTTGTCAGGACAGAGGCAACTACTGATGTGTGTCTTCTTCCTGTTTTAAAGGATGGAAAATCAGGTTGAGTTGAATATTTGTACTACATTATGCATTTATGGCCAATTGTAAGTGATTCTTTCCCAAACTGTTGCCACAAAGTTGGAAGCTCCATGAAGACATGGTTTGCCAAGCTTGGAGTGGAAGAACTCGAGTGTCCTGCACAGATCCCTGACCTCGACCTCACTGAACACCTCTTGGATGAACTGGAACTCTGACTGCACCCCAGATATCCTCCTCACGTAACATCAGTACCTGACCTCTCTTGTAGCTGAATGATCACAAATGCCCTCAGTCAGACTCCAAAATTTAGTGGAAAGCCTTCCCAGAAGAGTTTAAAGTTATTACAACAGCAAAGAGAGGACTAAATTTGGAATGGGACTTGCAACAAGCACATCTGGGGGTGATGGTCAGGTCCACAAACCTGACTATATAGTATATCATGGTTTCTAATCTAAAGACTAAGAGCACTAAACACTTTCATTATGATCAAGTCAATTTAAAGTTAGTTAAGTCAATTTGTCCCATGTGCTTTTGGGAAACGGGATTCTTTAAGGGTTCATTGAAAAGTTAAGGGTTCTGGGCTTCCTTAGAAACTTCTTTGAAAGAGAAAACATCTCTTCTAAGGTTCTACATAGAATATTTACAGGATCCTCCAGATGGACAACACAAAGAACATTTTTATTTGTAGACCCTTTTTTTGTAAGAATGTACAGATAGCAATGTGATTGAATACTGTTCTATTTGATTTTCACCCCTAGATTTAATCAAGCTGAATTAAAAAACAACAAACTTCTCATTCCCTTAAATATCTAGTGGAACTTAAATACATTATTATGCAGTATCAGTTCAGTTCAACAAAATATAATTAAAAGTCCTCCCTTGTTGATGATAGGCAAGTTCAATCTCACGTTTGAAATCAAGTTGTGTCGAAATCACATTCAACAGAATTTCCTCCAGAGTCATCATTACAAGAGATCTGAAAGGGGATCACTGGATTGAAAGTCTCCAAACTGAGCAATTTTGTCCATTGCACACAAAATCAGTAGTGTATAAAACAAAATAACTGAATTGTACCATATTCACATTTTCAATTGTCTGGGACATTAAACACTACTTGGTGCAGTGATAAGTTTCAGTTGAGACTGTTTGTCTAGTTTCATAAAGATACCTCTGCAAACTCTTTGCAGGTTGCACTGAGATTTTAACTCATATCACAGGATTCAGAGTCCAGAGTGCTAACCATTACACCATGAAACCAAGCTACATAGTGAACTGTGTGGTTTTTTTTTTTTTTTTCCCAGACACATTCTGGACAACAAGGGATTATGGCTTTGGGCTTCTGGCAGGCAGCTATTACCTCAAAGGTCAGAGATTATGCCGCCGTCATCAAAATACCAAAACCCAGGATTGAACCAGGGACCTTCAGATCTTTAGTCAGATGCTCTCCCAACAGAGCTATTTCTGCAACCACAAGGTGTTCTCTCACACTCACTCACATTTTTCATACACACTCTATCACGCTCTCCCTCACAGACACACTCAATCATTCTCTCCTGCACTCTCACAAAATCTCACACACATTCTCACCCACACGCACACACTCATATGCTCTCTCACACTCACTCACACTCACATTACACACAGGAGTTCATCAGTCGACTTCCATTTATGCCTCTATTATGGAGGTTTGAAGTGGATCGTCGTTTCTATGTATGCGCAAATGCCCAACAAGCCCAATGCGGGCATGAAATGTGCGGCCACAATGTGGGCAGAGGGGTTGATTCCTGTGCAGGGGTATGGGCCTTTGGCTTCCGGCTTGTTTTCTGGCTTGGCGCTTCCTTCTTGCCTCGTCGATTCTTTTTTTTTTCTACATAGGCTGGTGTTCTGATCTCGTGCAATATTTTCCCAGTTGTTATGATCAATGTTGAGGTCCTTCATGTTCATTTTCAGAGTATCCTTGAAGCATTTCTTCTGTCCACTGCGAGATCGTAATCCAACTACAAGTTTGCCATATAGGATACGTTTGGGAAGGTGCGTATCCGACATTCTGCTGACGTGACCGGCCCAGCCCAGTTGAATTTGTTTCAGCATCACGAAGAGTAGTTTTGTTCACTTCAGTGTCTGGGATTCTGTCCTGCCATATGATGGTGAGAATACGTCGAAATCAATTGAGAAGGAAGTGATTAAATTTCTTGGCGTGCCGTTGGTAGACGGTCCAAGTTTCCGAACCATAGATATTGGAGGACAGGACGACAGCCTTGTACATACAGAGTTTCACAGAGAGGTTAACTCCCCGTCGATTCCAAACTGATGACCTTAGACATCCAAAAGCGCAGATGGCTTTTGAAATCTAGAAGATAACTACATCAATTAGCACATGCCGAGAAACGGTGCTTCCGAGATAGGTGAACTTGTTAAAGGCAGATAGAAGTTAGTTGTTGACCTGCAACACAGGTTCTTTGTAATGCATGCCTGTCCCACTCCCGACAATCCCACTCCCGACATAGACACACGAATGGCACATAGTACAAACAAAAATACAATTGCGGATGTAATGAATGTCAAGTATCAAATAAAATTTTAACTTCTATTGATGAAGTTAATGTTGTTAGTAATTGTTTAAAAATTACCATGGTAATACAGAGTCAAGGTATAAAAATATGGAGTTTGTCATCAACCAAAGAGTAAACAGTTTTAATACCTAAAAATGTTTATGTAGCAAAGTTTAGCATACTCCTTTAAAGTAACTTAAAATGTAAACTTGAACTAATGATCTGCAGCACATGTACAGTGGTGTGAAAAAGTGTTTGCCCCCTTCCTCATTTCCTGTTCCTTTGCATGTTTGTCACACTTAAGTGTTTCGGAACATCAAACCAATTTAAACAATAGTCAAGGACAACACAAGTAAACACAAAATGCAATTTGTAAATGAAGGTGTTTATTATTAAAGGTGAAAAAAATCCAAACCATCATGGCCCCGGGGAAAAAAGGTATCCCCCTTTTTTAAAACATAACTTTTTTTAAAAAACTATAACTGTGGTTGTCCACACCTGAGTTCAATTTCTCTAGCCACACCCAGGCCTGATTATTGCCACACCTGTTCACAATCAAGGCATCACTTAAATAGGAGCTGCTTGACACAGTAAGGTCCACCAGAAGATCCTTAAAAGCTACACATACGCCCGGAGACCCAAAGAAATTCAGGAACAATTGAGAAAGAACGTAATTGAGATCTATCAGTCTGGAAAGGGTTATAAAGCCATTTCCAAAGCTTTGGGAATCCAGCGAACCACAGTGAGAGCCATTATCCACAAATGGTGAAGACATGGAACAATGGTGAACCTTCCCAGGAGTGGCCGGCCGCCCAAAATTACCCCAAGAGCGCAGCGACGACTCATCCAAGAGGTCACAAAAGACCCCACAACAACGTCCAAAGAACTGCAGGCCTCACTTGCCTCAGTTAAGGTCAGCGTTCATGCCTCCACCATCAGGAAAAGACTGGGCAAAAATGGCCTGCATGGCAGAGTTCCAAGGAGAAAACCACTGCTGAGCAAAAAAAACATCAAAGCTCATCTCAATTTCTCCACAACACATCTTGATGATCCCCAAGACTTTTGGGACAACATTCTGTGGACCGATTAGACAAAAGTGGAACTCTTTGGAAGGTGTGTGTCCAAGTATATCTGGCGTAGAAGGAACACTGCGTTTCAAAAAAAGAACATTATACCAACAGTAAAATATGGTGGTGGTAGTGTGATGGTCTGGGGCTGTTTGCTGCTGCTCAGGACCTGGAAGACTTGCCGTGATAAAAGGAACTATGAATTCTGCTGTCTACCAAGAGATCCTGAAGGAGAATGTCCGACCATCTGTTCGTGTACTCAAGCTGAAACGAACTTGGGTTCTGCAGCAGGACAATGATCCTAAACACCACCACCGAATGGCTGAAGAAAAACAAAATGAAGACTTTGGAGTGGCCTAGCCAAAGTCCTGACCTGAATCCTATTGAGATGTTGTGGTATGACCTTAAAAAGGCCGTTCATGCTCAAAAACCCTCTAATGTAACTGAATTAGGACAATTCTGCAAAGATGAGTGGGCCAAAATTCCTCCAGGACGCTGTAAAAGTCTCATTGCACATTATCGCAAACGCTTGGTTGCAGTTGTTGCTGCTAAGTGTGGCCCAACCAGTTATTAGGTTTAGGGGGCAATCACTTTTTCACACAGGGCCATGATGGTTTGGATTTTTTTTCACCTTTAATAATAAACACCTTCATTTACAAATTGCATTTTGTGTTTACTTGTGTTGTCCTTGACTATTGTTTAAATTGGTTTGATGTTCCGAAACACTTAAGTGTGACAAACATGCAAAGGAACAGGAAATGAGGAAGGGGGCAAACACTTTTTCACACCACTGTATGTGTTAATGTTTGTTACATTATATGATCATGAAAATAAATAAATAAATACTCACCAAGTCTCCAGAATTGAATGCTTTGCTACAGTTGTTGCAACATCAAAAAAATTAAATAAATAAATAAATTCTTTCAACAATTAAACGTTCAGATTGACGTTCTAGTGACTAAGTATTTCACACAGTATATCTGGGTAAGACACAGTGAACAACTCACTCATGGCATTCATGAAGAAGTCATAAACTCCACTGGAATAATAAAAAGCATCTAATAAAACCATGAGTGGAAATTATTCATGCAAGTTTGTTAAGATAGACTTCATCCAACCTGGAAATTTATTTTCCAGTCCACTAAACTAATCATGTCCAAATTAAACTATTTCTGACAGAGATTTAAGTTAGATTTAAAAGCTGGTTATTTTGTCTGTGTTTGAGGAATTAAAACATTCTTTATTTTAAACCAGAGGTAAGTTAAATGGAAGGTGTGTGGCCAAATCCCAAATTGATGTGTAATTTCTGGTTTAAGTGCACAATATTAGGAATGAAATAATGAAGGTCTACACCCTATGTAGTGCACTATTTAAATAATGAGGAGAAATTTGTAATTCTGCTTTAGCAGCAGTATTTAAGTATAACCTTATGTTCTCCTAAAATCTATTGTTTGCTCCCTGCTTATAGCAACTAAAATAAAAAATAGTGAGTGTAAACATAGCTAAGAATTTTGCAACTAAAACTTTATATTTCTGAAATGTTTTAATGTATAAAGAGCGAAGCTTAGTGATCGTTTGTGTCAATCAATACATGATGTTAAAGTTGTTCCAGTCTTTAATATTTTACTACCATGTTTCCCTGTGAGCCTACAAGGTGTTCTGCTAATCATTCAGAACCTCATTATCATGAGCAGAAAAACAAAAAGCTGTTTTTCAATTCAGCACACCACAGCCTACACTATTAGAATCAGACAAAGAGTTTTGATGTTGTTTTATTTGTGAATAAATGATCTTTATCTGGGTGAGGGTGTAAAATGAGTGTTTAGATGGAGAGAAAGAAGTGTGTGTGAATAAGAAGGAGGAGATGCTGCAACGGAACATCTACAACCATGGACACGCATTCAGCAACATACCAGTGTCATATCACAGCCTAACCACGACTCGGTTTCTCAGGAGGCACCACAGACTATAAACATGGCCGTTGAGGACTTCACTTCCCACACACACATGCGTGCACCATCCCCAGAGTTCTAACCGCACTCCCCTGCAACCAAACCCACACAGAGCATATAAGAGACTTTCAGCGAAGTAGACGTTCAGTAGACTTGCTCTCTGTCGTTATCCAAGCCGACTCACAGTGTGTTTTGACAAAGTTACTTTAACCAGCGTTTTCATCCACGACCTTGATTTCTGCCTTGCCTTGTTTTGTTCGTCTGCCTGATCACCTGACCCCTGCATGTTTCATGACAATGAACTTTGCCTTTCCCTTTGGGTTATATGGCTTTGAGTCTGTATGCCTGCAACTGCTTCTGTCTCCGCCTATGGATCATGACAGCCAGAAGTTCTTTCCATTAAAGAGAAAGAATCTGACACTGAAAACTACCTCTGTAAGACACCAAGGCCCTCTGGAGCTCAGTACCATCATAGACATATATAGACGGTGCGTTTGGCCTGGTGCTGCAATATGCCAACATCTCCACTATATTGATCTGGTCAAGACTGCCCTATAAACAAATACAAGTAAACGGGGGTGCTGCGGTTTTACTGGGTAAAAAGAACAATAAGGTTTACATTTCTCAAACAATTTCAGTCACTTATGTGGAGCACAAAAAAGTTCTGTCTCCAGTTACTTAGAATCGTGATAGTTACACTTGGGAAGTTATTCATTGTCATGAGGAATTATGAAAACTCATGCTCATCAAACATAGTTATTTTACTTATTTTTCCTGGTTAAGAAATGCTGATGCATCCCTAATATAATATATTTTAATGTACATGAGATGTGGAAGTTTTTCATTGTGGAAATGGATTTTTCTGTCTTCAACCCCATCTTTTTGCTTCTCTTC